ATACTTTCTGGTGTCTATCCTATGCAGGACTTGTTAACAATTCCATGTGTGGCAAGTATTTTTATCCTAATTTTATAGATAAGAAAATAATATCACAGAGAAATGTGACATTCTTTGACTTAGAGTTCAGTGTTAAGACTGTGTGGTTGCAAACCTTGTGCCTATTTCTATACCCCACGACCTCACAGAATATTTCCCTAATGGTTAATGTTCCTATCCAGCCACAGATTTAGTAGAGACTGGAGTGAAAAGAAAAGGAGAAGGTTACTTGCCTAGAGAAGTATGTTTTCCTTTCAATAAGGAGTATGGTTTTGCTTTTATAATTAATATTCTGCTGATGAGCTCTCCCATTGGTGAAGGCTGACAAGTCAGATTTTCCATGAAGAGCAAGTGCTGCAAGAAATAAATTAATCTCTGGGGAAGAAGAGGGGCAAGGCTGTCAGTACTCATACAACTCCCTAATAGGAACTGATATTTCAGAATTGTTCAAAGAATGAGATGACTGTAGGTTCTCCTCCAGTATATTCTTAAACATGTAAGCCTTCCTGAGTAGAGGGAAGTAAGTTGCTATAAAATGAAGAGCAATCTTTATAATATTTCACTTTAGGCTGTCAGTAATTCCAAACTAATTCCTCAGGAATGTTAGGAAAATTCTAATAGTGTCATTATTTTGTTTACATTATGAGAAGTTCGTATTGATGTTAAATAGAAGGATAAAAATTTACTGGAATTTTTTTAATTGCCAGTTTGAAATTACCCAGTATTTTAAAAAAACAGTCTTTGGAGTAAAATTAATTATTGTGCTTACCCACTACTTTGAATAACACTGAATTACTGAAGTGCTCTTTTTATAAATTGAGAAATAAGAATATGCTTTATGATATCTACTAGTATCTTCCTCTTGACAGCATACATTCAGTCATTCAGTCAAATAGTTTAAATAGAGATTCCCAGCCATATTTCTCAAAATAGTTCAGACAGGTAATATTTTTTTTAAATTTTTCACCATACAAGTATAATCTCAAATTTAAAGTAAATATAAAGGTTAAATTAAAGATCAATACAAATACTTGTTAACTTTTCTTCAGGTAGTATTATTACTTGTAGCTTCTACCTTGCCCTCAGTGAAGAACTTTTCCATGAAGGTTTTTTTTCATCTTGTCCATTTAAATATATCACAATGGTTGGTTCCTGGATGTGATGAATCATTTTTGTGTGAGACTTCCTTAGAGATAAGCAACAGTTGCATGATTCTACAATATCAGAATGGGTCAAAGCATCTGTGCTTTCAGAATTAACAGGGCAGAAAGATGACCTGGTGCAGCTCTTATTTTCGTGAGGAAAGTACAACTCAGAAAAATGAAATGGACTCTGAAAGCCTAATACCCAGGTGGTGGCAGAGTCAGAGCTGGACTTTAGGGTAACTGCATTTTTGTTTTCTTCTCCCTACTTGAGAAGTCTAATTTATGGAGGATGAGTCATAGTGTGGACTTAATCTAAAGATGGAGAAAAAAACTGGAAGAATATGGTTGAAGTCTTAAAAGGAAGGAAATTCTGTGTAAGAATTTTAATCAGAAGAGTCTAAAATTTGCTCAGTAGAGAACATTCATGTATGGCCCAAAAAAAAAAAAAAAAAGGAGGCATTTTTTTAAAAGGTTATCTTTTCTGGAAAAGGTTGTAGTTTCCAGAGAGACACATGAGAGATGAAAGAAAAAGGCCCTCTCTTTAGCCAGATTACCAAAAGCAATTGTTGCAACAAATGAGTGACTTACATAATAACCAGATCCTACACACAACTAAATGAAAATCCTCTGATACAGAATGACTTTGCTGTTGCTGAAAGAAGTTGCCTTGCCCATAGTCATGACCCTTACTAAAGGGTAGCTGTATCCAAAGACAGACTGATGCAGAAGCTAGAAAAGACATGGTCCCCTAACGCCAATACAAAACAACTCTGACGGGCCCTACCAGAGCTCCCTGTGGTATCAGCTAAGGTCTTATGAGTCCACTTCTCCCTTTGCTCAGACCTCTGTCGTGTGTTGTTCTTAAGAGCATGTCCCAATAAACTTTCTAGGTACAAGTCAACCCAGGGATGTGGACTTAGTTAAAATAAGCACTTGTGCTTAGTACATTCTATCTACCAAAAATAGCTCTAAAATTGATTTAACTGTAAAGCCTGTACTCTTCCTAAGCGACTATGCTGCAGTAAGAAGGTGAAAAGGCCCATGAGCAGAGTCAGTGTTTCATATCTCTGCACAATTGTGATATTTAGACTCTGAGAAGTCAGTAACTCATCTCCAACGGTTTCTAATCATTTCCTGTGTCCATAAGATTCATAGAGGTGATGAGGTTCCTGAGAAACCACACTTCTCAGAGGGAAAATGTGCAGAGAGAAATTCAGAGACTGCATCAGGTGATCAGAGTCAGTCACTTGCAGAACACACTCTAGGGGCAAGTATTCCCTAGCAATCAACTCATAAAGATGCAGAAACTAATTATGGCAGCATGATTCTATTGGAGTTTTTTTTTTAAATATTATACTAACTCACGCCCATTGTACCTAATGGGGTCTCAGCTAGCCTGTGGTTTAGTTCTATTACTAACCCAAATTTACAAATAACGAGAGAGAGAGATGTTGACAAATTGCTCTTTAACAGATAGTGTCGGGGAAGCCAAGATTTAAACTCAGCAGTTCAGACGCCAAAGGTTACCTCTTAAATATCCTATTTTCAGAAAATTGTTCTTTCAGTAATTTATCGGCCCAAAACAGGCAGACTTAATAACAATGTTCCTAAAATAAGATGTGGGCATCACTGATCAATTAGAGTGAATCAAGGACCCACACAGCAAAAGGTCATCCGGGAGATCTGGTGAAGGATATTTACCAGTTTCTTAGTGGACAGGGGCTGGGTTTCTGACAGCCCTTGTCTGAAGTATGGTTTAGTGCATTCCTGGCTGCACCAGAGTAAATTTTCATTACACAGCATGCGTTCAGTCATTCACAGCAAACCTTTCAGGTGAATTCCAAAATAAATAATTCCCTTTGGTGTAATTATTAGTACATATTTGAAATGTTTCCAGTGCATCTAACTGAAAGAATAAGCTCTCAGTGTCCAAAAGGAACAAAACCAGAGAAGCAGTATGCCTTTCTTAATAAGGGTTTCTTTTCATGATTGTTTTATCTGTAATGTCCTGCGCAGACTCTATATCTGCCCCTCTCACCTTCAGACAATTTAGAAAGTGACTGACTAAACATTAAAAAGAAGGATAAATTCAGAACTGGTATCATTTGCCCATCTTGAACTCAAAGGTAGTTACTGAATATTTGGAGATGAGCTAGCCACTCCAAGTTGGAAAAGGCTAAATATAGATACAATACATTCCTTTTTTCTCCAAATGAAGAAACATATACTGCATTACACAAGATAAAACATTTGAAAAATTATATTTCTGTCTTGCTATACTTAGTATTTTTACACATGGAATTCTCAAATCATTGTAACTAATAACAAAGGCTGACTCCATTGTAATTACAACTGAGGAAAGAAAATATTTGTTAGATGGGCATAAAAGGTAATTTCTAAATAAATGCATGTTAAAATTAACCTAAGACAGGAGGGCTCATTGTACTCTTTTGGATAAAGTTAGGAAATCTCACTTGCCTACAATTACCACTTTAATTCTAGCCCTTCTTTTTCTTAAAATAATCCTTTAAAAGCAGTAGGTTCGAAGCAGGTACTGCCCTGGTATGTGGCAACAGACTCTGCTCTATTCATTTGGGACACAAAGTTGGGGCTGTCACATTCCATCCCAGGAAGTTGTACACATAGGGAAAGATCAGAAAACAAGTTTTCCTGTGATTGAAACAAAAACTTTGATCTCAGGAATTGTATTATCTGGCACTCTTTAGGATCCATAATCTTAAGTTCCCAATAAATTAATAATGGCTTGAGACTCAACATGTTGCAACAATTTTCACTGTAGTAGCTGTTTCTTTTATAGTCACACTTGATTAGTAATTGAAATTTGGAGGAAATGCAATATGCATGGTTTTCAAAGTCCTTTACAGAATTTCATTTTTATCACTCAGGGAGAGTCAATGAAAAGGTAATAAGAAAAGCTCTATGGGATATTTTTATAGGAGTGTCAGAAGCCAGTAAGCTAACTACATGAAAGAACCCAGATTATAGAGACGGCATTTCAGCAGAAACACTTCTGAGACTTTATATCTAGTATTTTGACTTTTACATGCCCTTGGAGGGAAAGAGTGCTAGCTACAAAACCAAATAAGGAGGAGAAAGGAACAAACCATATGCTTAAGAATAATTACAGTCTCAATTTTCCTACAAATGAAATGTGAAGTTTCAAAGATAAAGTATAATAGAAATTGAGCTGCTTTGGTGAGTCTAAAATAGAGCCAAGAAAGAAAATTCTCATTTCCTTTGCTAACTCATCCCAGATTTCTACAATATGTAAGTTAGTTTGGGTGGCTTAATTGAATGCTATCAACTTCTCCACATGTCCATTTGCACTTGTTTTGCTTTCAGTAGAGATGAAAATATCAAATTACCAAATCTATAAACTCAACTGTCACAATTCAGATCTGCATTAGATTACTTAACTAAAACTTCTTTAAATTAAAAACATCTCAATGATTTTAACTTTTCTCAAGTAATTCTTGTTAATTCTAGCAGAAAAATTCAAAATATTATTTTAATGATAACATAAGGAATCCTAAAAAAAACACTCTTTTGGCCATAAAAACCATAAGAGGAGAAAAATCTAATAACAGCAAACAATGAGCAGATTTATCATTATTGCAAGTGTTTAGTGCTGTACTTAAAACAACATTGCAATGAGATTTGCAGGTCAGGAGTTCATTTGTTCGAGTCATATATTCCAAACAATATGGTCACAGGAATCTGTAGATTGAGCACATATCATGTAAGCAGTTAGAAGCAATTTTGTGTGGTTTAACCCACCCATGGTTATACCAGTACCTGCTACTGCAGTTGCCTCACTCTTGCTGCTCCTTCTCCAGACTGACCAAATCATTTTGACAACCAACTGGTACTTTTGAATCCAGGCCATCTTGATTTGAATGTAGTTTCTTCGATATGTCTACACGGAGGTTCTGAAATGACACAGGCCAGAGTGATTGATTTCACAAGTAAATTATCCCTCCAAAATAAATGCTTCCCAGAGATGACAAGAATAAAGATTTATCATATGGCAAGTTATTTTTGTATATCTGAAACAGAACACTCTAAATGTCAAAGGGAGTTACAAATTATATTTTCATCAATATGTTTTGGTAAGCTAGTTGTGGAGGTTTGAGGCAATCTGAGTGACTAGATTAAGAAGTCATCTCAGACACAGAAAAACATCTTCAAATACATTTGCAGATACAATTTTCCTCTTATGAAGATCATAAAATAGTTTTCATTTTAAACATTTTCACTCATTTTTCATTCTTGCAGTTAAATAGCCTAGTATTCCATCATACATACATTATAGAATTACATATTGCACAATGAAGAACAGGTCTCATTTCTGTATTGGCTATTCTTTATATAGAGCAGATATAACATCTATTTTAAAACAACTTACGTTTTTATTAGCATTATGCAAACTTTATAAAAATCCTCTAGTCAATTTATTTTTTTAAAGATTTATTTATTTATGCATACAAGAAGTGAGGTACAGGACAGAGGTGCAGGGGTGAGAGGATTCACCAGAGACAGAGTGGGGAGCAAAACAGGCATATTAACTGAAACACACTGCTGAGGGGAGCAATGGGCTAGTCAGGAGAGGTCTGCTGTGCCATGTAGGTTAGCTCCCTGGCTGGGGATTGAACTCATGCTGCGGTGGCTGCAGATTGTTTCATAGTGCTGACACTTAACCCCTTTCATCACCAGGGAGGCCCCCTTCTAGTCAATTTACATGGTATGCTTCAAAGGAATCATCAAATAGGATAGGAGCAAAAAAAACAAACTAACAACAACAACAACAAAAACACAATAAAAAACCCACAACCTACCCAGGAAATTGAATTTTCAGCACTTTATTTCCCACCCAGATTAGGAGCTTTTTAGTCTTAACGTGGACACAAAATACTGAAAGATTCATAGAGTCAAAATTAGTCAATTTAGGGCATCCTTACTGGAAATGTTGACATACTAAAGAATATTTAATGAACAAATTTCCCTAAATTTCTCCTGCAGACTTCATATAGCATTAAATCACTAAAAAGTTGTCTAAAAGTTCAAATTGAAGACTTTCAAAGCTTGCAAAGGGTCAATAAGGAAATTAGAGTCTAGCATGATTAAATAATTCAAGTTACCAAAGTGAACAGTGCTGGGCCTTGGAATATGTCTCCAAAAACCTCATCCAGTGCTCTTCAGGTCACTGTGTGGGCTGGTTGCACTGACAGCCCCTGTGATTCACCTCTCTCTATATCTTTGTCCTTTCTATGTAATTTCGCAGTTCCTTCCTACTCTGACTTTTGGCTCATCCAGGTTACTTCTTCTGGACAAATGAATGATCAAAACACATGCCAGAGACTTAAAAGACGCTTGCGACAACTGGTTTTGCTCATTATTTTCCTTTTACTATATTGTGAGAACATGCTAGATTAGGCTGCTAGAAATTGAGCAGGACAGCAGAATCTGGTTAGCCAGTCATCTGAACTGAGGCAATCAACAACCAAGGAGTCCAAGAGACTAGAGAAACATAACCTAGGTTAGTGGCAACTCACTTAGGTCAACTGAATCCCAGCAGACACATAAATCAGATAAATGTGTTTCTGGTTGTATGCCATTGAGTTTTTCCAGTGAGTATGCCACATTGTGTGGCAATAGATAACTGGTATATCTAACAGCCTTTTATCTGTATCATTGACACTTGGCGTAGTGTGAGAATACAAATATAAAAGTAAGATTGTCTCAGACTAACTTGTTCAAGGCACAATTTCTCAGATTATGTAATCAGAGAAATAGAGTGTGGTAAGTCATCTGTTATAATTGTCAATTTCCTTTTCTAATAACAAAGGATGGGATTCTATTGACACTTTCAGGGGCAACTCAAAAGATTAGTTTGAATATTAGTTTTAATCAGAACTAAATCACTATTGTTTATATGTGACTCATCCACAGCCAACAAAAACGTGAGTTCATAATTCAGTAATAATTTTTAAATGTATTGTCAAGTCTGTATTACCACAAAGTTTTGAAAGGAAATAGTCAACCAGCATTGGAGTATTCTCCTGATTTTGAATTAGATACCTTTGGAAAATATATTATTTCAAGTTATTAGACAAAAATATAGTCATAGTTCCTTTGTCCTAAGCAATAAACTAGATTGAAAGAAGAAATGTAACTTCTAGTTTTTCATGCCAAATTCAACTGATAGTATTAAAACAGTGAGGAGTGAGGGGAAGGGCCTCTTTGGTGGTACAATCTCAGCAATATGAAGCTATCAGCAGCCACTGCAGCACGAGTTCAATGCCTGGCCAGGGAGCTACCCACATGGCGCAGCAGACCTTCCTGTCTCACTCGCTGCTCCTCTCAGCAGTGTACTTCAGTCAATCTGATGGTTCTGCTCCCACTCTGTCTCTGGTGAATCCTCTCATTACCACCCCCAATGCCTCTGGCTGATACCCCAGCTTTTGTATGTATAAAAAGAAATAAATCTTTTTTAAAAAACAGTGAGGGAAAGATGTAGAAAGCTCATGTAAATTATGTATATTTATATCCCAGACTTAAAGAACAAATGTAGAATTTAGGTAAAATCTTTTAATCTGAAACCTTCAACATGAAAGGCTGAGGAGAGAAAATGACATCTTACAAAGGCCAGCTCTTTTGCTGCAAACCTCTAGCAGAATGGACATTTTACAAACCGTAGCATTTCAATAATTAAGAACCCCATTTTGCTCTAGGCAGTTCCCACATTGTGGCCTCTTTTAGTCAAACCTTATCAGATTTTTCCATCGCTCCTTTGCTTTATTTATTACATTTAAGCTCTTGTTTGCCGGTCCTAATGTAAAGGGAGATAAATGTCTCTTAAGTTACAGAACATGTCACATCCTCTCAAACTTGTTTAGCCAGCCCCTCACTGCATTTTTCTGGGTTTCCACACCATCCTCTGGTACTGATTTTCTGCTAAAATAAATTCCCACCATGCTATTTTCTTCACTGGCAAATTGCCCTCACTTAAATCTCAATCCACCCATTTCATTCTGTGTGTGAGTGGGGGGTGGGTGGTGGTGATGGACAGGTGAGTGTATGTATGTGCTATGTGTCTTCTTTCCTGTCTATCACATTCTTCTACTGTGGCTTCAGAATTTTGCTAATGCAACAATTGCAATTTTGACTCCCTACACAAATTTCTTTCAGATTAATGTCACTGCCTTCCCACCTTGAGTAAATTTCCACTCTTCACTGAGGAGATAATTTTGGCAAATGAGAGGGTTGCATGTTCCTTCACATCCTCTATCCCTTGGGTTGAAATTAATCCTCACTACTGTGCTGTTCACTGCATCTGTACCTGTTTGCAAGTAATTCCTGCTGCTCTGACATTCCTTCTGCTCTGATATCCTTCCATCTAGCTGGGTACCATCTCCCTTTTTGTTTATTAATGAATACTGTGTCAACCTTATTCACTGTTCTCAGTCCTTTTCTCAGTGCTTTAAACATAAAATATATTTTAAATATAAAATGAAATAGATAACTACAAATTAAATGGATGGCAAAATCCATGACTAAAATATAGACTTATGTTTTCTGATTTTTTTCTTGTAATAGCTAACCACTTGCTACAATATAGTCACATGTTTACATTAGGAGTGGTATCCAGGTTACTCTGTACATAATACTTATTACATTGTTGAAAGACATGTGATACTAAACTTGTTGTATCCATAAAAACCCAACAACACATATTGCAAATTCTGTGCTTTTAAATAAACTCATTGCTGCAATCATTGAAAACACCGTGGTTTATATAGTATCTCATACATTTCTTTGGTTTAAGGCATATTGGTCACTATCTATGAATACTATAAACCAAAGAATGGTTGTGTTAGGGGAGGTGAGAATTTCAGAACTGAGTATGTTACAGTGTGCCCATATTCCCCAGCATTGAAATTTTGGCATGACAATAATGGAGGAAATAAAACTCTCAGTGAGGCACTGCTTCAATGAGGTCCAGTCTTTAACCTGAAGATCAAGTCCAAAGGAAAATGAGAAAGATAGCAAGAATAGAGCAAGAATAGCAAGTTAGCAAGAATAGAGAAAAATGTAGATTAAATATGAATGGGCATGTGCAGGGCCTTTGTTGACCACTCTATAGGTACACTTCTAAAAATAAAGTATTTATTTCGTGTAATTTCTATTTAACTTGTCACAGATGTGAATCATTAGAATCTTGTCTGCTAATATAAAATGAATATTAAATTATTTTCATGCTTTTCTTGGCTTATAGTTTGCAAAATGTTTTTAGTGATCCTGCAGAAAGCAACGATTCAATTACAAGGTACTGAATATTTTTGTCACAAAGAAACAAAGAAATTATTACAAAAAATTTAACCATGAAAAAAAGATTTTTTTCAACTTCATCTATCATTGCATACCTAACACCACATTGTTGGGTAAAAATCATTCTTTTCCAAACAATTCATTGAGATTCTCAGTTCATGATTTTATTCACTTTATGCTCCTTCTCAAGGCAAATAGGCTTGCTTCTCTTTAGAAATCCACATAGGGCATATCTTGATCCAGGAATTAAATATCATTTACATTTAAAACTATATGAAGGGCAAAGGAGGACAGCAAAGTGGGGAGGGCATGCAATGGACTATAGTGGTCAGGTCTATGGGTGCCTTAGTGGTGGATGTGTGTGGCAGAGTGTGAAAGAATCTTATACGTCTAAATCATGAATAGCCTGAAAAACCAATTTTACTGCAATAAGGAAATATCAAATCTAAACATTAAAAAAAAATAAACAACATGAACTATCCCAGATAATGCACTTTACTTTTTACTTTGTAAAAATATCCATCACTCTCCAAACAGGCCAAAAAAAAAAAAAGGACCTCTTCTCCTTATATAAACAATTGCTCCTTTCCATCACCTGTAC